CGACGCGCTTTCTCGAGCGCCCTTGGGACACGCTGTCAGAGGCTCTGAGGATGAAGATGGCTTTCTCAGAGCAGTTAGCGATTCGGAATTCGTGTCAAAACAGCGGAAGACGAAGAATTACGCTCAGCTATTGATTCCCTGGAAGGCCACAACTCTCAGGTCCCTCAACACATTGCTCGCGAGTTGTCTTCTTTCTGTCTAAGAAGAGGCATTCTGTACAAGAAAAACGCTTGTGGTAGCAACAAAGCCTTCCTACTCGTTGTTCCTACCGACATGCCTGATGAGATCCTCCTTGCGTGCCACGACGAGTCCACGTCAGGACATTTGAGCTATTTGCGAACTCTCGCCTGAATACGCCAACAGTATTACTGGCCGCGACTATCAACTAATGTACATCACTATGTGAAAGGCTGCCGTGAGTGTCAGCGCCGCAAGACACTGCCTTTAAGACCCGCAAGCTTGCTCCAGCCGATCGCACCACCACAGACACCGTTTGACCTTGTGGGAATGGACCTTCTCGGACTTTTCCCTTTGTCATCCTCTGGGAACAAATGGATAATAGTTGCGACTGATTACCTTACTCGTTACGCTGAAACAAAAGCGTTGCCCCGTGGCACGGCCTCTGAAGTCGCGCAGTTCTTCGTGCGCGAAATCGTCCTAGGCATGGTGGTCGTCATGCGTGATTACGGACAGAGAGACGTCGTTTACAGCACGAATGATGGGAGGACATTTTTAAATTGAGCTGCACAAGTCATCGAAAAACGACGGCTTATCATCCGTAATCCGATGGGCTGACAGAGAGGCTTAACAAGACCATAGCAGACATGTTATGTCTTGTCCATGTACGTGAACAAATGTACGTGGACATACAACATAAAACCTGGAACGAGATTCTTCCATATATCACGTTTGCATACAATCCGGCAACGCAAGACACAACGTGATTTCTGCCTTTCCGACTTGTTTACGGACGCAACGTGCGAACCATGCTCGATGCTATGCTTCCGTGTGACCGAAGCAGTGAACTTGCTCTAGGCGCTGAGCAATATACTCAATACGCCGAAGAAGCTCGTCAGCTAGCTCGCATTAACACCAGTCACCAACAAAATGCCGATGCATGGCGTTACAACTTCCGCCATCGAAACGTCACCTACCGCCCTGACCGAGTGTGTGTGTGGATCCCTGTCCGGCGACCAAGCTTGTCCGAAAAATTCCTAGTCCGTTATTTTGGACCGTACAAGGTTCTTAGACGTGTCACAGATCTTACATACGAGGTATTTCCGGACGGCGCAGCGTCTTCTCCTCGACAACTTCGGCCCGAAACTGTGCATGTCGTTCGGCTGAAGCCCTACTTCACACAGTAGCCCTTGTGGTTCAACGTGTTACAACAAGCCGTGACATTGCGTTGCTGCTGCTGTTTTTGTTCTCCTGCGTTTTTATGCCTTTTGTTTTTGCGCTGCGAGTACTGGAACTCTCCCTCTTTTGGTTCTCTAGATCTGCGTGTGTATGCCTTCACTTTTTTTTCTTTCTTTACGAGCATCGAGTTGATGCTTTCAAAGGGGAGGACTAGTGCCACATGGTCTGCTTGGGTGAGATCCATGAGTGAAAGAGGACAAAGACGATCTATGCTGCTGCTTGGCTAGTCGACTCAACGAGCCCATTATATCAAGTTTGTTGTGAAAAAGATGACAATATTCTTAACCTTGGTTTGTTCCCTGATCCATTATGCTCTTTTCTTGTCTCTTAATGTTACACCTATCATTTTCCTTTCCATTGCTGCTGCGTCGTCCTTAATTTAGGTTGAACCCTCTTTGTAAGTCTCGAGGTTTCTGCTCCATAGCTAAACACCGGCTAGATGCAGCTGTTATACTGTATTTACTAGCATAATAGGTGCACTTTTTTTTCCCAAAAAATCCAGCTCGAAGTAAGAAGTGCACCAATTACGTGAAGTAAAATTTTCGAAAATTTTTTCGACTCTGTTCTTACGCTTTAAATCTGCATATTTGTCAAGTAAAAGGTGACCTTATTGTTTACCAATTGATTCAGCAGAAAACAAACATACCCACATACCTTTTAATGAACAAGCGAGAGCCGTCAACTGCACATACACACGTAAAACTTGTTTACACAAAAGTCGTAGGTGTTCCTCCTTTTCCCTATTCGGAGTCCGAGTTGGAGGCCACACATTCATCCTCGCTGAGTGGGAATTTGTTTTCGGTGTCCAAATCATCCGCACCCCACAACATGTCATCCTCACTCGCATCCAGTGCGTTCCAGATACCAGTCTTCTTAAAGCTTTTTCTGAAGACATTATTGGAGATCACCTGCCACGCTTCCACGATCCAAGTGCACAACATTTCCACAGGCGGCCTCTTAATCTTACCACCTAGATGTTGTCTTACCCGCTGATCTTACCAGCGGATGTTGTCCTCCAGCCATCCCGGTAGTGTACAGCCTTCGAACATTGCCCTTGAAAGGCTTATTCAAGGACATGTCCAAAGGCTGCAGTATCGATGTGAGGTCGCCCGTAATCACTGCCAGATCGGTGTGCAGCTCCTTTAGCTCATCTCGTACGTGGTCTACTAGGTGCCGAAAAAAACTGTCCAGGACAAGCATGGACGGGAACAACAGACCACCTGGCCGCCGACCCCAGACCGTTTTCACCCAATCCACCATGAGTTCCGCCCTCATCCAGCCTTTTTCCTGGACTCTGATGTAGATGCCTTGAAGGAAATTCGCCTTTGGGAGCGCCTTACTTTTAAAGATAAGGTAAGGCGGTAGCTTGTGCCCATCCACTGTCACCGCCGTCATTACGGTGCATCGTTGTTTATCAGCGCCAGATGTTCTCATGATGATGCTCCACGCATCTTTCTCCTCCACTGTCGTATTCTGCTACACATCAAATCAAAGGGGGGGTCTGGTCGGTGTTGCCGATCTGTGACAGAATGAAGACTTTCTGCTGTCGTAGCTTTATAACGAAACGCTGCAGGTCCACCACTTTGTTCTCATATGCTGCGGGCAAGCACTTGCACAAGGTGGTCCGTCTTCGCAGTGCGAGGCCATGGCGCCGCATGAAACGAGTTGTCTATCCGGAGCTGGCTTTGAACTTTTTTGCCTCAATGCGTTCAGATACCTGCCGGTCTTGGCACTGTGGAAAGCCCATTGTGTCTTCTTTGTTGCCTTAAGTTTTTCTTCTTGATCCCTTCAGTACCTAGTACTAGTTTCTTCAACACCGAAATGCCTGCTTGCAGCCCGGTTGCCGTGCTCTAGCGCCTATTGCACTGCCTTCAGTTTAAATCCAGCCGTGTAGCTTGCGCACTTTCCCATGGTGGAACAAAAGTTGAATACATGACCACAACATGCGCTTACTGCTTAAAATATGGTGTTTATTTTTCTCTAATGGTGGTGATGGCGATCGAGCCCCCAGCGTTGTACACGTGACCTTCAAGGAGCGCGGCGATTTGGGGGTATCAGTAATTGATGGAACAGCCGTTTTTTTTTTTTTGTTCATGTACGCTTTCTTTTTTCAAGTTTTATTTCGACAAACACGTTAGTTAGGTCATTGCACTTCGAATTTTATTATTTGCTCGTCGATTTGCCTTCTTTTTTTCTTCTGGGTACGGGGACCACCTTCCAACTGTACCACTGGGGGGATAGAATCGTTTCTGATCACGGCCAAGTTCAGGGTGCGCCTATTATGCACTGCATGAAAAAAAATAGAATTTTCCGCGACCAGGCTGGGGGGGGGGGGGGGGTTGAGGGGGCGCGCTTATTATGCGAATGCGCCGATTATGAGAGTAAATACAGTATACTTTTCTCTTGAGGAATAGTGGCAGTCTACCTGTCATAGTTTGAGAGAGCTTGCCAAATGTGCTCCACCCCATTATTATTCTTCTAGTTACTTCAGCCTCGCGATTCAGCTTCGCAGTTATTACCTGTCCTAAATAGACGTAGTCTTTTACAACTTCAAGTGCACTGTTACCTATCTCGAAAAGCTGTTCTCTTCCGAGGTTGTCGTACAATACTTTCATTTTCTGCAGATTAATTTTAAGACCTACTTTTCTGCTCTCCTTGTCTAACTGCGTAATCATGAGTTGCGATTTGTCCCCTGAGTTACTCAGCAATGCAATGTCATCGGCGAAGCGCAGGTTACTACGGAATCCAGCGGCTTGAGGAGGCTTTGGCGAAGCAACGGAGAAAAGGAGCCGACGACCCGTCTAATGGGCGCGGGGGCAACCGAGTAACTTTCGTCTAGTCGGAGCACAACATCCTCGAGGTCTAGGCTCTAAGATTATCGAACTCTAATAGCCGTAATCCTAAGATAGGGAGCATCCGCGCCCTGCGAGACCGGGGACTTCCCACACGCCGAATGTATAAATAAATGTTATTGCTCTCTCTCTCCATTAACTTTTATTTCTACTTTTAGCTGCGGTTAATTTTAACTCTTGTGTTTGCTTTCTGGTTCTTCTTAACATTAAACAGCCAACTTACGTACTCTGACTTGGAGGTTTCATTTTGGCCAGGTATACATAAATATTTACTGCACGTGCTCAGAAAATTCTGAGCACTTGTGGTACATTTATTTGCTTATCTTATAGAAACGCCTGATTTTTTTACCACTCGAGGGTCTGTTTTGAGTGCACACAGTTTTCCATGCAAACGTAACGGTCATGGAATTTGCTTTAAATTATCATGGAAAACCTGGAAAAGACAGGGAATTTTAAAAAAGCAAATTGGTAGACACCCTGTTATTATTTAAAGCAGCACAAATGATAGGACAAGAAGTACAAACTACAGAATGGACACTATGACAATGTTCTTAGTGTCCATCCTGTTGTTTGCTCTGCTTTAAATAACGTAGAACCATACCAACTAGCCCAGATGTCGACCTTCCCACTAACATCTCTTTGTAGCCTGTGATGTGAGTGTGGAGGTTTTTGTAATAAACCTCCACACTCACATTCTAAGCTACCATGTATTTGTACATTTCTCTCCTTCAGAGCATGCGGCCTGACAATGCCGAGCGATGACTGCACCAGTCTTCTTGCTGAAGATCAGATGGTCGTGTAGGTAAGCTTTCTTGGATTCATATTAGATGTGCATGTGCTAAACATTTTACTTACTAGTAGTAAACAGTTGTTTCGAACCAAACCAGCTGTCTTTCACTTAACATGAGGCACTTTGCGCACGTTTTTTTACAAAACTTGTTTTTGCTGAATATGTGAGCAAGTGGCAAAAAAGATCAATATACATTGATGTTTGAGTGAATGTAGCCTCCTGCATTATAAATGTGTATTTAACTTCATTTTGCAGTGTGCTATTGCATATGTTCGCTTAGCTGAAGATAGTGCATTGTCCAATGAGTCATTTGACGTGACGTGCAAATCATGTTAGAAGTGTCGTTTTTTTTTTGGGGGGGGGGGGGGAAGGGATAAATTTTACCAAAGAATGAAGTGTGTCTATCCTAAGATTTGATTATATATGAAACAGATATTCAAAGGGATCAGGATAAATATTTATATTTAATTAAAATTCATAATATTTACTGTAAAACATACAAACCAATGTGGTGTGACATTATTTTTGTTGCAACATTGTGTGCCTTGAAAAAATGTTGCGTGAATCAGATGCATTTACAGACAATTCCTAGTTGGTTGTACTTTCCAGCCTTTCAGCAATGCGCAAGGGATGGTCACATACGTGGGTGATCAGCTGTGAGGAAAGGAAATGGTGTGAACACAGCGAACATTGATTTGCTGCTTGAATAACCTCGCCAATGCAAGTGCCCGGAAATGCAAGCACCTGGCTACTCGGGGCGGAGCATTGCACCGTGTTTAGGGCATTACAGGTCACTTGGAGATTGAGTCTGTTGCTGAATTGGTGTAATGGTGTGTTGCACTTGGTTGTAAAACCTTATCCAAAGTGGACAATAAAACAGAAGCCCCAAGTCAGTTTGGACTGGAAGGTTGTGTTTCCTTAATTCATTGGATGTATATGTAACGTTAGCTTAGTAGGTCAGAGTGAAATATTTTTTGCTTGCATTTCACTCTGAGACACAACTTCAATGTTAAAAGTATAAAATTAATTGCTTTACTTGAGCTCTCAGGCATGCAAGGTCACAAAGACTCGACAAAAAGACTCTGTTCTTACTGTGCAATTTAATGTGGCTTTCTTTCCTTTTGAGTATACATTTAGTTTTCAACTTCAGGCAGATACTACAAAAGTTTTTGATAAGGTTGATTTGGTGCAGGAATCTCATAGCAGTATCTCTGCTCTTTTACATTTAGATATCCAATGTTTTAAGGTGATGCCAGTTTATTCTTCAATTCATTTTACCTATAATAGCCTCAAGGCCAAAGGCGTGACAGAGGAGTGAGTAAAAAAATATAGGACAAGTGAAGGCAGAGATCAGAAAAAATAACGGCAAGTGATAGTAGGCTGAGGTTTAGTTTCATGAAGGACTTACTAGTAGTTTGGTTGTAGTTATGTAGAAAGAATTGCGGAAAGTTAGGTATTTTGAACAAGTTCAAGTGAGTGAATGAACTTGGCAATACTCGGGTCCTATACAGGTTTGAGTTTTGAGCAGATCAAAGGTTTTGTAGAGAAGCAGTTTTAGTGATGGGGAGGCAGAAAAAACGTCGGGCCTGCACGGAAGGCGCAGCACAGTCACAGCAAAAGGCCTTCGAGAGCCTTTTTTAAACACTAATCGGGTAACTGCTACAAGCACACTTGCTTGTTGCCAACTATGGAATTAATAATAAAAATTTTAGGGTAGTAGGCCAACATTCGCTATGCTATTTTTCGCCACGCTTCTAAAAAGCGTGGTATCTGCTAAACTGTTGCGAAGAATTTTGTGCCAATTGTTCATGCAGTGGCTGACGGCGATAAGGAATTATGCCTGAAGTAAGTATGCGCCACAGTTAATAACTGAACAAAAACAAGATTTTGTAATAGGTTGAAGCATTGGACGACCCACTCGTTAAGCTATTTGCATTGTGCGACGACTGCTTGTTCTTTTTCTGTTTTTAAACTCTTTATAAATCGTATTAACGCGAGTGCTTTCCCGACATCAAGCCCGCCTAAGGCAAGATTGCCACCAAGTACCAAGCATCGGCGTAGCTCAGTGGTAGAATACTGGGCTGGCACCCAGCGGACCCGGGTTCGACCCCACTGTATCATTGGTACTTTATTTTTTCCCAATTTTGCACGATGTGGTTACGGACACCGGCAGCGGCGGACAACTACGGCGCTGCACGAGACCATAGTTGTGACCTCATAACAGCTTTTGCTGTAAAATAGACATGGTAGGTATCGGAGTGTTCAGTTAGCATTGTTGATTATATGGTTAATGTGGAAAGACCATGTTAAATCTCATGTAATGTGTACACCAAGGTAGCGATAAACCGATTCAAGGATAGTGTTAAGGTAGTATGCTGGTGGATTAGATGCAGTACGGGATGCATGTAAGACTTTGCACTTATTGTTGTTTAGTGTCATTAGCCAGTTGTGTCACCATTCAGAAATATCATTAATATCAGTTTGCAATGTAGTTATGTGTTGGGCATTAGTGATTTCACGCATAACAACACAGTCATCAGCAAACAAGTAATTGTCAGACGTTACGTGCTAGGCTAAGTCATATGCAAAAGATTAAAATCTACTTGGTATCCAAATGAGTGCTCTGTACCAGTCTACAATTGGTGACAAGCTAAGACTGCAGTGGCAGATGCACCACTGTTCAATTAATCAGCATTGAAAGAGTTTCCTTACCAATTATGCCTAGCATGGTCATTGACTCTTGCAGGGTTGTGAACGAGCACTGCATCGGGGAGAGCATTGATGTAGCATGGGTGAGTGCAAGTGCTGGTGAGGCTTTAGGGGGCCAAAAGTCCCCCTTTTGCACCCCCGTGTGACTACTAGTATCTCCATAGTCTCACAGCCAAAGCAAGCTGTTATACTGGTGTTACACGAGCACTACTGATGGTGATCACTCCTCATCCCGACCGAATTTCTTAGTTGTGATTGGTTCATTTACACAGGCTGCAGAAGGAAACCAGTTACATTAGAAATTTGATCTTGACTAGGCCTCATCTTGATCAGCAGTGCACTGTGAGATGCCGGCACAAGAGAGTACGAATGCAAGAAACGGGTAGTTTGCTGTGGTCTGTACTGCTATATGTTCACCCAGCACGGAGAACCTTCCAGTTGTCCCAAATTATATGGTGATGCTAATGAACTTAAAATATTAATTTACCACTCATCAATTTTATCGCACCTCCATTGCGCATGCCTTGTGTAGTTCATGAGAACGGCTAAAAACCTGAGCAAAATAAACGCCTATTACACAAAAATATAATACTGCGAAATTCCGAGGAAGCATCTCCCATCCTTCCAATAGTGAAGGATAACCTGACACAAGATTTGAAGGGGGGCCCCTTACGCGGTGACGGATCAAAGTTCATCATGGCGGTAGAAGAGCTGTTAAAAATAAATGGAAACTCATGCTTCTAGTGTGTGAATTATTAAATATGCATCTATTCAATGTTTTCATTTGCCATTTTCAGGATAAAAACAGTAAAAATAGTGGGAGGGGAGAAGGGTGCACATATTTGGTTTCTCCTATAAAAAGGAAGCGGGTGCTTTACTCGGGATTTTACTATACATACCATTGCAAATGCACCAGATTTCAGTTACACTCAGCATCTCTTAGAACGTTACAATATGCCTACATTTACTCCTTTTACATACCACATGGTACTGATGCCTAAACTCCTAAAATAGTTTATATAACTAAATTCCTCACCAGCAAACAGAATACCGCTATGTATGCTGCCCATCATGAAGAACTTGCGGCCCATACTTGTTTCAAGAACTAATTGTGGTTTGGAATGATGAAACGGAAACTACCCCAGACCGCTTTATTATTAATGGCATTGGCACGAACATCACAAGCATAATACGGTTTGCACTATTTAAGTAATCTGACCTTTCTTAATGAATCATACTTGATTCTTCCGACCTGTGTTCACATACACACACTCAATAGAAAAAAAGGATGCATGACTCTTTTAGGAGAGTGCTGACTGGCCATGCATATGACTTTTCAAAAAGACATGCCGACTCTCCTGGTGGACCAAAGTTGGTGCAGTCTGTGTGAGTCCACTGGTCCTCATAGGAAGAGTGAACATCGAGATGACATCTATTGCACAAGCCAGTCGCTGTCCATGATCGTAATTGTTACGGCGTATAGTGGGTACACTCGATGTACTATGCCATGACGGTTAAAAGTGATTGTGTGATTTGGAAGGCGCTTATTAGGGAGTGTGGTCTAGAATGCACCTGTTCTTCATCGTCCTCGTTGACAGCGGCTACCTCACACAACAATGCCAACGAAAAAGCCTCAGCATTAGAAGCTTTACCCCTAAAAAAAAAAATGTGCGTCTGCCTAGTCGTGCTCAGTCCCCTTAGGCCCCCTCGTCACAGCACGCTTTCGCTTTAGCGCCACTAAACTGCCGCCGGCACTTGTGCTAGAGCAAAACATTATCTGAACACTCTCTCTATTCTGGCAGGAGAGGAGTTCTGTGCCTCAATTGTTTCAGGGGCAAAGCCCCTTAAGGTCAAGCTATATCTCTCCATTGGTCGTCACCATAGTTTGATGGGAGTCTGCTGGGGCAGTCTACCCAGTGCATGCTCTGGTTTGATCAGAGTTTGCTAGGGGCACTGCAGTCAACACGGCGCATGCTCTGGCTTGGTCGGACACCACTATGGGCGCCAAAAAGTTTGCTCCTGCCGCTCACGCTCTTTCTCTCTTTGGCCATGGATCGATAACGGCGGACTCGCTATAGATGACGACGAAGAAAGGAAGGTGCGAATAGTGGCTCATCTACAAGCGGAGCTGATGGCTCGCAATGTATGATAATAAGGCGACATTGGAGGCTAGTTAGTACGTCTGCATGCCAAAAAAAAAAAAAATGCGAGACTACACAGAGCGATGCGCAAGCTAACAACTACATCATTTTGATTATGCACAGCCTTATATATGAAAATAAAACGAACACGAAAAGAGGGGAGGAAAATTCAGTGATAAAAGATACGAAAAGAAAAAGAAACACACGGGCGCAACACAATGTCACTAAAATGTCTCAAGAAATTACATATGCAGTGCTAATGTTTCCTTCAAAAGCTGATCTTTTTGTGAAAGGAAGCGACCGAGGGAGCGTTAATGGACCCTTTACTGATATGCATGTAAAAAGCTGCAGTAATTTTCGACTCTGTCTGATAAAAAGATTGCCCTAAATCTTTTGAGTCAAGAAACATCACTGTGCAGTTGCATTTTGTGCAGTGGGAAGCGAAATGACCAGAATGTGTTAGAAGCGACACAACATAATAATGCTCTTTCAGTCTTTCATAAATGCACCTCCCGGTTTAGCCTATATACTTCCTATTGCAGGAGAGAGGAATGCCACAAACAACACATTCTCAGCATCTGACATACTAATTATTTCTGATATTAACACAAGTTTCTTAATTCGATGACAGAGATTATGGATGTAGGGAATGATAGCCGGTCTTTCCGAGATCCCCCTCAACCTAACAGGTTCGTCTATCTTACCAGTAGCGACGATCGCATAAGCCTTTTCAGTAACTGAGCAAATAACCTTAATCGAATACATGCTCTTTTAATTTGGTAGCCTGTGATTCAAGGCTGGCAATGCCGGGTACAAGAGAGACTTTTTGATAGCTTGCTGCACAAAAAGCAAAGCTACTGCCCGTTCCACCAGCTTCGACTGCCCAGAATTGCTGTCACTGTGTTGTCTCACATTTTTTTTTCTATGGGCTGGTAAAGCTGCCACAGCACACCGATGCAGACAAGCGAATACAGGAGCTGACGGCAGAACACCGAAAGTGTTCGCTACCCGAGGTTGGCGACGCCGATGCTAGGTTTAAGTGCAATTTCCTTGACA